GCCTATCTTGACTAATATATCACTGCTTCTTTGCCCCTTACAACCTAAGTTTGTCCTTGTCTTCAGTCCTTCAACAAGATGCATTAGGAGACCAAACATAAAATGACCTCTGATTTCTGACAGCTTCCAGTACATACAAAAATCTCTCTTAAGAAGCCTAACTCCAAATCCCCTGACTCTATTCCAAAACTCTAAATCATATCCAACAGTTTTCTTCAGGTGTCTCATGGTTCTCCATGATGTGTGTTATCTTTTGAGTAATAAATCCAAGTAATTTAACTGTAGTGGTCTTTGATATTAGTAGTTTGAATCTGTATAAAGTTTCTGCCACACTTGATATGGCCAATGTGATTAATTCTTGCACGAAAATGTGAATGATAATACTACAAACCATTTCTGGACCAACAATTTTAGAAGATTGTAGACAAACTCAATCTTCTCTTTCCACTTCCTCTAGCTAGATGGAAATAACCATGTGCATTAGCTTAACATTATAGTGGAAGAAAGTCTATGGTGAAGAACACTGCCTGATAAACTTGAACACTTGATCTGAGCAAACATGAACTTCATATTTCATTGTTGGAATAGAAATACATTTCTGTGTCTCAATGACCAGAAATAAAAAACTAGGTATATGGCTACAAGGAAATGCAGGCAAGGTAGTAAACCATAGGAGAGCACTAGTAATGTACTAGATGGATATTGTTTAGAGAAGATAACCCTGATGATACTGGCACACAAAAAAAAGTAAAAGAAAAAGTAGAAAAAGAAATCTGAAGAATTATTATTGATCTATCATTGTTTTCTCTTCTGAAAAGAATACAATACTCAGGGGTTTGTTTTTTTTTTTGTCTTAGCTGTACTGGAGTTTGAAATCAGGGTCTTCTGTGTGCTAGGCAGGGCTCTACCTCCAGAGCCACACCTATTGTTATTATTAACTCACATTGATTGTTATGTTCTAAAAGGTAAATTTAAAATATAATTTTTCCTTTTAGTAGGAAAAAAGATATATCCATGGAGGCTTATAACTTTATCTTTAACTCTTTAATAATTGAAATACACTATCATCACTATATTCTGGTTGCACTGATTTTGTTACAAGGAATGTGAAATTAAATTAAACTAAAAATATTTATATATATATGTGTATATATGTGTGTATTTATACATGTATATATATATATATATATATATATATATATATATATATATATATATATCTTCTGTTCATTGAAAAAAAAAGCAAAGAAAAAGCTTTGTTTGGGCAGAGCCCAAAGCCTCCTCATAGAAGCAGGAATGAATCTATTCCATTCTTACACTGTTCTCCCCTATATTTTTGTAGATTTTGTTTGCTTTTAGTGTTTGTGGTTTTTATTTGGGTAACATGCACCCATGAATATTAGCCTGCAAACCCAACTGTAGAGCTAAGCTCAGACCACCAAGTGTCAACCTGCCCACTGGATGAAAGGCAACCTATTGGGTGAAAGTCAACTAGTAACTGTGTTCCCATGTCTAGTGTGCAGAGAAAGCATGGGAGCAAGCAAGACTTACAGAATTCCTTATAACATACATAAGATCACTACCGAAATCATCAGCAATATGACTGGCTAACCAGAGGCCCTTCAAACCTTGCTCTAGTCTGGAAATTGGATGAAAAAACACTCAGATAGCCCCCTACCTAGCTCTATAGGGTAAGCTGGCTAGAACCCTAAATGCACCACTCACTCAACCCAGTAATGTGTGTGTGTGTGTGTGTGTGTGTGTGTGTGTGTGTGTGTGTGTAGAGAGAGAGAGAGAGAGATATATATGTAGCCACTCCCCACCTCAGGTGATCTCAAAGTGCAATCCTGAAACCCATCTTCCCAGTAGGTACAATTGTAGGACTATGCCACACATTGGCCAGAACTATTCATTTTTAAACATTCAGGTATATGTCCAGTGGTCAATTTCTAAGAAATCCCATTCAAGTTTCAGTAAATATCAGAGTGGTTTCAAAAACTATTGCTATAACATCAGATTATACCCCAATAAATAATCCACTATATACCAAAACAGATAACCAAGAATTCCACTTTTGATAATGTGCTAAATAGACCCAGAAGTATAGGGAACTAGTGGCTAACCAGGGATTATTGACACTGCTTGTCATGCTATAAAAAAGAAAATGACTCCGGGCTGAGAAGGTGGCTCAGTGGTAGAGCGCTTGCCTTGCATGCATGAGGCCCTGGATTCGATTCCTCAGCACCACATAAGCAGGAAAAAAAAGCCAGAAGTGGTTCTATGGCTCAAGTGGTAGCGTGCTACCTTGAGCTGAAGAGCTGAGGGACAGCTCTCAGGCACAGAGTTCAGGCCCCACAACCAGACCCCCCCCTTCCCCCCCCCACCCGCCACCAAAAAAAAGAATGACTTAATTAAGGGAGAAAGCACGTAAAATAACGCTGTTAGGAGGAAAGTTCCTTCTGGACACTTGGAGGCAGAATCAATTCCATGGACCTGGCTTAGAAATTGCTGATATTTTCTCTTATACATAAATCTCCCTTATTTACTCCCTCTTCCTAAATCCAGATGTGTCCAAAGTTTCCTTCCCTTTCTCTTCTATTTAAACCAATCACTAAATTTAGGGCCCAACCTAATGGCAATATGATTACTTTCCAAGAATTTTGGTGGCACAGGAATTCTGAACTCAGAGCCTTGCACCTGACATATGGGAGTTCTACTACCTGATGGACAACCTTGGTCCTTCTAATTTTATTATTATTTTTTTTGGTCCGGTCATGGTACCTGAACTCTGGGCCTGGGTGCTGTCCCTCAGCTCTTCAGCTCAAGGCTAGCGCTCTACCACTTTAGCCATAGCACCACTTCTGGCTTTTTTTCTTTTTTCTTATGTGGTTCTGAGGAATTGAACCCAGGGCCTCAAGCATGCAAGGCAAGTGCTCTACCACTGAGCCACCTTCCCAGCCCTCTAATTTTATTTTCAGATAAAGACTCTCATTTATGCGCAGGCAAATCTAATCATGAATTTCTTATTCATGCAGCTCATACTTGGGAAGAAAGAATGTTCCACTGTGGCCACATTTTTATTGATTCAAATGGAATCATACAACCTTCTGCCCTTTAGACTTTCTGATCTTCAACTCCTTAGAAGCTTATAGACATAAGCAACTATGCTTGCCTTCATATCGTTATTAAAAGAACGATATAAGATGATGTTAAGGGAAATGAACCCCAAGATAGAGACATGAGATTTTTTTGTCACTGGTTTTTAATGTACTACATGACATTTTTGTTTGTTTTGTATGTTCTTCCCCCACGATATAACCCTTGTTGTCACTGCATTTGATTCTGGTGTCTTGTATCTTGTATATACATTCTTCTAATTTGGGGAGGGGAAGGGAAATAACAAAATGCTGAAACAAGGATAAGGTGGACCCATTGTAACAATAAGATATACAAGACACTATGTTGCAAAGAACTTTACAACTTGGAGTGGGGAGGGAGGAGTTGGGGATATGGGGAGGGAAGGGATAGCAGGAGAAAATCAAAGGAAGGGGTAACAATGCTTGATAGGAAATATACTCATTACCTTACTCATATAATTGTAACACCTCTGTACAGTGTCTTTACATTAAAATATTTTTGCAAAAGAACTATATATACAATAACAATTATAACAATTTTTGGAACACAAAATCTTTAATCCACTTAGACATGAAGTAGAGGCAGGAGATGTGTTCAAAGGTTGTCCAAATTAAAAGTAGCCTGAGACCCTATTTGCAAAACAAATGAAAAGAAAAAGTCTGAGAGTATGGCTCAAATAGTACAAGTGCATAAAAAGAAAATGGCCCTCAATTCAATTTCTACAACTGACAAGAGAAAGTTGTTTCAACTGCGCTGAAAGGAGGCTACTTTCATAGGTAATACTAGGATTAGGATATAGTATGTTTGGGAGATTTTCCATTGAAACAAATGAGAGATAAAAAAAAAAAAAACACTGTTCAAACTGAAGTTCTAGATTGATACCAGGAGATATCATAATTTGTGCTGCTATAAGGACATGCAAAAGACTAAGTAATTTCAAATATCAGACATTTGTTTCACATTTTCTTTCTAAAGCTGAGAAAGTCACTGAACAAGGAACCAGCAGGAATGACCTCTCATGAGCACTGCTCTTTGCTGACAAAATAATCACCAATAAATACCTTCTCTATAGGAGGAATGGGGGAATTGGAGTGCTATATCCCTAAAGGAACACAGGGAAAAAACTGCCCCCTTCAAACTCACCTTAATCCCATTTATAAGGGTGGTAAATTTTTTCAAAAGGGCAGAGACCTCAGGACTTAATTACATCCCAAAATAAACAGCTGTTGTACTGGGAATTAAGTCAGAGAATAATATTAAAGATATGATCATCATTAAACCAAAGAAGCAGGATGTCAGAGAGAGAGGGAGGAGTCAGAAACTTGTACAGGCAGTAGGAAGGCTTTAACTCATGTTTCGTTTTATTCCTATCAATTGATGAAAATACAAGTTCTTCAAGGATTTATAAAAAGTCACAAATTATATCAATCTTACGGAAATAATAATAAACAAGTTCAAACATGAAATTCAGAAAGGTAAAATATATGCAATCAACTTAAGGTTACAACGGGAGAACAATGACAAAGGCACCAATGCACCATGATGAACAAATGCCTCCAAATTTATAAAATGAATTGAATAGGCCAAGATTAAATTACAACCTATTAATTTTACAAAAGTCAGTAAAATTGCTAAAGGAAAGCAAAAATTAAACATCTAATAAGATGCCTCTATATTGTCTTAAAACTTGAGAAACATCAATAAATGTGTGAATAGTATCAGGCATAAACAGATTGCAAAACTAATTTTTTTTTATTTAAAGGATTAGCATTTGAAATGGAAAAAGATATAATTACTGTGTACAAGAGGAACACAGAGTTGTCTTATATTGTGTTTATTAAAGCCTGACTTGGACCCTAGCCTTATTGAAAAACTTCACTGTCCACTTCAAAATCAAACAGAGGAAGTTCAAACTCAGCATCTTCATATGAGCCAAGAGGCATGGATTCCAAATAGTCGGTGATACAAAAGGAATTATTACCATCTGCATGATCACTTTCAAAATTATCATTATGATTATCTCTTAATGCCTCTTCATACCACTCAGAGAAGGAAATTACATCAGTCCCTTTAACTTTGGCCAAAAATTCTAGAACCTTCATCTTGGTGGTTTCAGCCAGGGCTCTTGGCCCCCACAGGAACTCAAAGCGTGGTGGATCACTGTAGAGCACCCGGCGATACTCCACATAGTTTTCCTGCACCAAGTCGATAGTGATGAACTTTTTAGGCTCCCCATAGATGAAGTGCTCCTGCCCAGCATACACTCCAACCATATTCAGAAACGCCCATACTTTCTCTTCAGGAGCACAGTTTTCTTCCAAAAATATCACCCCAAGAAGCATGATCAGGAGCCCATTTCTAGGCATTGTCTGGGCATCATTCAACTTATCTTCAAAGGTAAGGCCCAATGAGTTGACAAGGACATAGGTATTGCCGTCCATTTCCTTTACATCAATGCCAAAAATCACCTCCAAGCATGAAGTTGCTTTCTCCAAGATGGTAGGGAGAAGCTCTTCATACTCCTTGGTGACTAACTCAACCATTTCTTCTTTTGTGATGGGCTCCTTAACCCCATGCTTGAAGATCAAGGTGTGCACCAATTCAGTGATCTGATCCCCCAAAGGCTCAGGGGCCAGATCTTCACTCTCTATTGGAGGTGGAAGGATGAGCGGACTCTCATCTTCTGGGTCATTCGATCCATATATGTTGCTCCATAAGGTGCAAGACAAGTTACTACGCTGAGCATTGTTGGGACAAGGAAGAACACTGGAAGATGGTCCCTCTCCATCCTCCTCCTCCTCTTCCTCCTGCTCTTCTGCCTCTTCCACCTCCTCCTCCTCCTCTAGCATTTCCACCTCCTCCACCTCCTCTTCCACCTCCTCCTCCAACACTTCTACTTTCTCCTGTCCTTCCACCTCTTCCACCTCCTCTTCCTTCTCCAGCACTTCCACATCCTCCTGCTCCTCTGCTTGTTCCACCTCCTCCTCCTCCTCCAGCACTTCCACTTTCTGATCCTCCACCTCTTCCACCTCCTCTTCCTCTTCCTCCAGCACATCCACCACCTCCTGCTCCTCCACCTCTTCTTCCACCTCCAGCATTTCCACCTTGTCCTGCTCTTTCAACTCTTCCTCTTCCTCTTCTTTTTCCTCTTCTTCTTCCTTCTCTTCTTCCTCTTCTTCCTTCTCTACTTCTTCCTCCTTCTCTTCCTCCTCCTCCTCCTCTTCCTTCTGCTCCTCCACCACTTCCACCTTCTTCTACACAGTGTCATTAATCAAAGAAAAAAAGAAAGAAGCAATGGAAAAGGGGTAAAAAGAGGATGAATGATACAAATCAAAGGGACAGGGGAAATGGCAGTGCTCTCATTTCCTCCCTCCTGTACCTCCATTTCCTCTGTTTTTATCTCTTTCTTTTGCTTCTCATCCTCCACAATCAAGAGTTGTTCTGTGCCAATTATATCTCCAAAGTCTTCCCCATGTATGTGATTTACTGGAGGCTGAAACATGATGAAGCTTACTGGAGGTGGCAGGTAGTGGTGTCAAACCTGGGGGAGGGAGAGATTGAGTGGCTTCAGCTGAAGAACTCACCAATAACTGATGCTCCACAACCTCACAGGTCTGCTGAACTTCTAATTGGTCTGTCTTCTAAGAAACTACAAAAGCACATGGGAAAGCACCTCAGGGTACAGTCTAAGAATTTGGACCCACAGTAGAATACATGGTATGAGACACAGACAATGCTTTTACTCCCAGTTCCAGTGAGAATTGAGAGGTGCCTCCTAAACTGAAGACTACAAGCACAAGCTTCAAATCCTCTAAAATAACAGACACAGCTAGACTGTGAGGTCTAAGGCAAACAGTGCCCTCGTTATTCACTTCTGCCTTAGCGAGGTCTGGAGTCTACCCATCAGGCATACTGGGGGAATAGGGTAAATGAAGCAGTAAGGAACCAACATGTCCATAGCATCAGTCAATGATTTCCTGGGGAAAAATTAACATCTGACAAACACTGTATGGATCCCATCATTTTTAGATTAAAAATAAAACACTTTCTTTCTCACACTGGCACATAAAGAGACAGACCCTTCTCCCTCTGTTGCCCTTGGTGTGCCTCCTGAAAACCTTCCCTCACTACTGTTGCGACCACAAGAACTAAATGATCATGCAACATATCTTAACACGTTATTACCCAAGAGCTGCAAGAACAGGTAGCACAAACTTGAACCAGATATGCCATCAGTCCTAGAAACAGAGATTGTGTCTTCAGCCCTCCCTCATGTTCCTAACTGTAACTCCTTCGACAGTCTGCCACTCTCCCTCTATTGAATTGATACTATTCTCCTCACACTGGATATGCCTTAGTCTGAGGTCCATTTCCCTAGCAACACATGCATATTTGAGGGGGCAAAATAGCTGATTAACGGACCATTGTCCTTCCAAAATTAGCAGCAAAGACAGGTGTCTACTTGCACTGTAGTAGGGATTGCCTGACTTTTCCTTTCTTGTATTCATCACCCCTGCAATGCCTTGGTGACTTGACATTGTGCTATAAAAGAAAAATTTCACCTTTCTGACCAAAACAACACTGCCTAGAGAAAATTTTTTCTCTTTTCCTTGATTTTTATTTTTTCTTTTTTTAAGTAAGTATTTTATTGTGAAAATACTGTACAGAAGGGCTGCAGTTACATGAGCAAGGTAATGAGTACATTTCTTATCAAGCATTGTTACTTCCTCCTTTGTTATTAAGTTAAGTAAGCCAGACCCAAAGAAACGTAGGTCACATGATTTCCCTTATTTGCAATAACTAGTATATGTCTAGGACAAGCAGAAAAGGTCAGATAAGATGATATTAAGTGAAATGTACCCCAAGATAAAGACACAAGTGTTTTTTTTCTATCTTTCAATTGTTTCTTATGTATTTATAAGGTACCATGTGATTTTTTTTATTGCTCCTCCCCCACAGTATAACCCCTGTTTTCACTGTATTTGACACTGGTATAATTTGGGGAGGGAAGGGAAAAAAAATTGTTTAAATAGGGATACAGGTGGACCCATTGCAACAATGAGAAAATTTAAATGCAACTGATATAGGTGCTCTTTTGGTTGAGGACAGGAGAAAGCTTTACTCTGAGGTCTCTTCTTTCAAGGGGTGAAGGAAACTTTAGTTCTAAAGTTTAGTTCTTGCTATCTGATAAAGCCTTGAACTCCTTATTGTACTGAGTCCATAGACTCAGGCCAAGGCTATAATGTTCCTGAGAACATAATGTTACAAGAAAAATATTGAATTGATATAACACAACCACTCTTACCTGATGCTAGGGCCCATCAGTTCAAATGGGAAGATACCCTCAGTCAGACATGGATAGTTTCCTTTACTGAAGACAGGGACAGTCTGCCCTCATGTTTTACTTTTGTCCCTTCCAAATAAGAGGTCACCTCCCAGACACACCACCACCAACCTCAAAAGGAAGAAGAAACATTACCTCTAGACATTCTCACCCACACCCTCCCAGAGCAGAAGTCAGAAACAAGCTGGTAAATTCCTGGGACCCATTCTACATTGGGTAACAGGTGTTATTGCTGTGTCTTTGATTCCTTACCTTAACCTTGACACTGGTCTGAAAATCTTCTCTCTGGTGGTGTTACAAACCAAGAAGAAATTTGCTAGGATAATCCAAGAAGAAAGATAAGAGTATTAAATCAGGTGATTCCTTCCCACGGCTAGGGGATAGTCAACCTCAAATCAAGATGTACATCTGTTAGCAAGGTCTGTCCTAATCTCTACTGATCAGAATTTTCCCTGCCCAGCACAAATGTCCAACATTATGACACCTAAAAGAGCCTATAGCAGAAGTTAGGGTTCGTTCCCATTTGTCCACTCTACCTTTCTTCCTCCCAGGACTGAGAATAGGGGACAGAAAGAAGCCCTAGCATTCCTCCTTTCTATCAAAAGGAAAGAGAAATGAAGGGTGGAGAATCTGTATATGTATATAGACACATATGTCTGTGCATATTGATATTGTGTGTGTACAAATGTCCACAGAAATGTATGCACAGGGCTGGGAAGGTGGCTCAGTGGTAGAGCGCTTGCCTTGCATGCATGAGGCCCTGGGTTCAATTCCTCAGCACCACATAAGCAAAATGAAAATATCTGGAAGTGGTGTTGTGGCTCAAGTGGTAAAGCATATATATATATATATATATATATATATATGCACAGGTTTGCATATGTAAATAGATATTTGTACGAAAGGTATAAATACCATTTATTTTTATTTTTATTTTTGTGGGTCTGGTCGTGGAGCCTGAACTGTGGGCCTGGGTGCTGTTCCTCAGCTCTTCAGCTCAAGGATAGTGCTCTACCACTGAGCCACCTTCCCAGCCCACCATTTTTTTTTAATATGAAGTCGTTTTACAAAAAGATTTCAATTCCACATTTCAATACATGAGTACAATGTTTCTTGATCAATTTTCTCATCTGAATTCCTAGAAGGGCAAAAGCACATGAAGAAAAGTTTCCGTTCCCTCAGTCTCCAAAGTTGAAGTAAAAAATAGAAAAAAGGTCTTAAACCAGGTTCTGGTGGCTCACGCTACTCAGGACGCTGAGATCTGAGGATCACAATTCAAAGCCAGCCTGGTAAGGAAAGTCTGTGAGACTCTTATTTCCAATTAAACACCAGAAAGCTGAAGTGGTGCTGTAGCTCAAGTGGTAGAGCAACCTCACTTTGAGCTGAGGAGCTCAGGAACAGCACCACCCAGGACCAGCGTTCAAGTCCCATGAATGACCAAAAAAAAAAAATTAAAAAAAATTCTCATGACATCATCCTGGCAGCTAGATTAGGCAGAATGGAGAAAGGCATGTTCTTTCCGAACTCTGTGGAAAACGTCCACTTCGCACCTTCAGGATCCTCACCGGAAAGCCCCTCAAGGCCTCGGGGTCCACTCTCTTCCCTCCTCAAGGCAAACACCTCGCAGGAAGCTACTTCTCCCTCAAATTAGCAATGGCTCAGCTGCGAACACCACTGGAGCCTGCTAGGGACAAATGCTGGCAATCCACAGGGACCCGGCTCCCCATGAAGCTGGGTGGGGGCTTCCCGCCCTATCGCCACAGTCTCCCCACAGCTAGTCCTCGTCACAGGGCAATGGCAGCCACATGGAAGGTTGGCCCACCGCCCCCCACCCCGTCGGCGAAGGGCAAGAAGTCTCTCTGCGCCTCTTCTCCACGGTCCGTCCACTCTCAAGGTCGCCGAGCGGCACCTCGCTCGCACTGCTCTCATGGACGACAGGAAGAGCCCTTGCTGCCTCCCGCTTCCCATCAATACACAGCAGGCCATGAGCGGCCCAGCCTCCCTTTTGTGTGCAGGGACACCATCCACATCTGCCCTGCACCCTACGCCCTCTGCCCTCTGCCCTCTGCCCTCTCCATTGCTTCCCAAGCTCAGAAGTCCGGCATGGACACGGCGCAAAGCCCTCCTGTGGGAGATCCTCTGGCCGCAGACGAAGGCCCCGTCTCCCCACCCACCGCTCTCCGAGTCACTGTCCTCTCCACAGAAACTCTCACCTCACTCTGAGTCTCGACACCGGTGTTAGGAAACAACCAAAGCGACTTTTCATCTTCTATCCGTCCCACGGCCAAACAGAACCTGCTGCTAATGGCGCCGCTCCTGCCTGTGGAGGGCAGGGCTTTTGCAACCTCTCACGTTCTCTCCTTTGTGATTGGCCAGGCTCGACACTCTGTATCCAATGAAATGAAGCCGCGCCTTTCAGCGGGCATTCTATTGTTCTTTGTAAACTTTACATCCGGGGACCTAGTAATTTAGCACATTCAAATGTTGCACTTTCTGGGTGGGGGAGGGGCTCTACGATCTTCCCCACCTTCTGCCGCCGGGAAGCTGCCGCTCACAAACCTCCTGTCTCTCTTACTCCACACATTGAGAACGGGAAACACTGCGTCCGGGACACAGGAAGGGCATGACGAGAACTGTGCTGGTCAATACATGTGGGGTGAGGGGGGGAAGGGTGCTGATGCTCAGCACCCTGATCCAATGAAATGAAGCCAAATCCCCCGCAGAGCCCAGGGAGGTGCACAATCACCCCGCCCTGCAATCCTCACACTTCTCGACCCCCAAATGCCACCTCTGCCTGCGGGGGAGGGATTTCTGTTCATTGTCGCCCTCTTTCCCTTGAGGATGCCCATGGCCACCTTCTCCCCTTTCCACACCCAGAAAGCTGCCGCACAAAACCCTCGCATCACGCCGTTTCTCGACAGAAAAGAAAGACACGCACAGTCCAGGCCACTGAAAGGGCAAGAAGAGATGGGTGCCTTCGCTCGTGTGCAGGTGGGCGGGGCGGGGCGGGCTCTGCTCTACCCTCAGGACTTCCCTGGATCACCCAGCAGACCCCAGACGGCTGCTCTGCCGCCGTGATGTCCCAACCCGCACAAACCCGGTGTTCGAGTTGGGATCCAGCACTCCGGGAATCTGGAGACTTTGCAGGGCTGAACTAG